TGACGGCTCTGTTTGAGGGATACCCCTTATTTAAATACGACCGAAAGATTTCAGATTCAGCTCCTTGGATTTTCAAGTCTCATGTTCGCACAGGTGAAAGTTTTAGCGGGGAATTTGCTAACTCGGGAACGAAAAAAGTTAAAAAGTCGAAATTTTAAAGGAATGCTTCCCACCCATATTCCGCCAAAGGATTTTAAATTCAGCTTCTTAGCGTGTGCGAGTTTCACGTACAGACAGATGAAAACTTAGTGTGAAATTTAATAATTCCGGGGCCAGAAATGCGAAAGAATTAAATCAAAGGAGATTTTTCTTGTCCACATGCGATCAAAAGGTCTAAAATCCAGCTTCCTGGTAAGCCTGCGTCTCACGTGTGGAGAAGTGAGAATTTTGACGTGAAATTTAATTTTGGAACTAGAAAGGCTAGAAAGCTGATTCTTTAAGGGGATGTTTCCTGCCCCTGTGTAAACTGAGATTTTTAAATTCAATTGCTCGATACGCCTACGTCCGATGAACATCGTACCGCTGAATAAATTTTTGGTAATAGCGCGAGCCGCAGGTCAAGATTTCATGCAGCCATGTGATGCAAAACTGCCATCCAATTGACGCCGTCTTCCTCTTGCATGCAATTACAAAATGTATTAAATTGTAATACAGCCAACATGAGTTTACATATTACACTGTAATTCACACTGTTGATGATCTGACTGCTTCATGTTTAGCGCAAAAATTCATTGGTCGCAGCGGCAAGCCTGATGCTCCCCTGCCTGGCTGTTATGAACACCCAGGCTGGAATACACTAGGCTTGCCGGTGTAGTCATGCGTTTTTGCATTAAACTCGCAGATCCCTAATAGCAGGAATAATCCAAGCTCATATTGACTGTGCTTTGGCCTCTTGCGGCATGCAGGAGAAAGGGCTTCGGTTGGGATGAAGGTGTTACATTATAAGGCCGCATGAACCTCCAAGTATATGATTACCAGTTTTTGCATGAAGCCCGTTCGTTTTTTCGGTAAATGCTCGCTTTTTGAAAAAAAATGAAAAGTGCGAATTTTTGAAAGTGCAGAAATTTCAATTCTTCACTAAAAAGTAAAAACTTGCTAGAGCGGTCGCTTTTCAAGAAGTCCAAGTACATAAATGAGCTGAATGTTAGGAGAGGATGAGGGCAGTCGTTCACTGCAAAATGCACTTTTTTCTGATCTTTTGGCAAAGTTGAGTATTTCTCATGCTCATCTGCAGGGAATTTCACTTCGATGCAGAATTAAGACCGCATTTGAAAACGAAGTTTCAGCCTCGCACTTTATCCGGCAAGCGAAATAACCACTTCGCTACAAATACTTTTGAAGTGCCCTAAATCGTGGTGCAAATTTAAGTCTTACTCATTTTAAGTATGCGATTTTCCATTTGGGCAATAAACGTGCTGACAGAATTTCAGCCGTTGTTATATGACAGGTTTTCGAGTTAGGACGGTGCGAAGTGCAAACTTTGATGTTATCATACGCGCCGTACAAGCGTGCGCAATAGCTGAATTTGGAACCCTTATCTCGCACATGCGCGGAGAATATTCCTGCAAAGTTTCAGCTTTGTACGTTGCCTGGTTCGCGAAATCGTTTTTCGCTAAAGAAATTTGTATATTTTTTTCGAGGGTCCGTACGCGGGGCCTAAGCGCCTGTGGGGGAAGATCTTAAAACGCGAGGGTGACACACGGGGCAGGAATATAAACCTAAAATTTCATCCTCCCAGCTTTCCTAATTGCTGAGATGAGAATGGATGACAAAGTTCACTCGCTTCCGAACACACACGCGCACACGGATATCCTCTCGACAATATGCGCTTTGATCGTTGTAGCAGCGCTATAACGCTGCACAGTAAG